CTGTCTTCACTACAAACGCATCACTGAGCTTTGCATTGTGAATCACTTGGCATGTAGCATCATCATCATATGGCATATAGCTGCTGTTGAACGAAGTCGATAAAGATTTGTGGGACTCCACAGTGTTGAAACAGCTGCTTGCCAAATTACTTCTCGGTCGACGCTATCGAAGGCCTTTACAAAGTAGATGAAGTTGAGGTAGAGTTGAGTTGAGTTGACTGCCATTCCACGCTCTGTTCTATGGTGATGCATAGCGTTGTAGTTTGATCCCCACATGACTTGTTCTTCTTGAAGCTAACCAGCCTGTTCCGGTCGTGATTTTGAATCCAGAGCATGTTTTATTCTCTCCAGTACGCTGCAGCTTAATATTTTGCTTGGGTTGAGCAGCAGCATGATTCCACACCAGTCCTTTCAAACACTGGGTCACTCTTCTTTGGAAATTTGCCAATGTAGCCCCTCTTCCTGTCAGCAGGTTCCCCTCCTTCCTTCATTCTTTCCAAAGGTGATGCAATGGTGGTGTGAGCATGTCCGCTGTGGTCTCTGCGTCTGTTTTCAGTGCTTCTGGCGGAATTCCATCTGGTTTTGCTGCTTTCCCAAACTTCAGAAACTTTATGGCTTTCAGGACATCTGCTTTTGTCGGAGGGCTTGTGTTCATTGGTAGTTCTGTGGCTGGGCTGCTGATGGTATTTCTGGACGAGTTGCAGGTGGTGGTTTCATTGGTTTCATCTGTGTTGATCTCTTTCCTACCAGTTAGTAACCTGGTCACCTGATATGATGTCGTCAAAACTCTGTCTCTCCTACCTGCAGCCTGTTCTACTTCAGTTGCAAGTGTGTCGTAGAAGTGTCTTTTGTCTTTGAGCGCACTCTTCTTCACTTCTTTCTCCAGTGTAGTGTTTTATAGATTGTGTTCATTTCGTCTTTTCGTTGTTCATCCCTGCACTGCACTGGTTCATCTGCTTCACCATCTTCCTCTCCCTCCTCTATCTGCTTCCATGTGTCTGTCCTTATCCGTTCCTTTCCTTGTCTTCTTTTTTCTTCCTTCCTAATACAGTTATGCAGGTTTTCTTCCACATCTCTTTCAAAGACTTCCAGTGTTCCTCCACGCAGGTATTTTCAGGGATATTGCTTAGTGTCTCCCATGTTTTCCTGATGGCTGACGTGAAGATGTCATTTTTAGTTTCGTTCTTCAGTTTCTGTTCTGTGTGGCTGTTGAACTTGAACTGTGGTCTATCACCAACTTCTTTGAAGGCTTTTAACTTGATTATGAAGGTTGCTTGCACTAGATAGAGATGTTAATCTACATCTGCTCCTCTTCTTGATCTTGTGTCCAGTGGGCTGTGTTTCCCCTTTATTCGGATCGAGATGAAGTCGATGTGAAGTGGATTTTTAGTATGTCCATCTCGTGAAATCAAATCCATGTAGCTTTGTGAATATCTTTGTATTTGTAAACATTGTCTCCAATCACCAAATCGTTGAATGCACAGAAGTCTGAAAACAGTCCTCCATTCTCGTTCATTTCACCAAGTGTTCTCGACCCATGATTCGTCCTCTCCCTGTCCACTCCCAGTTTGGCATTCATGTCACCCCAACCATTAGAATTTTGATGTCGCCAACTGGTATACTGTCTTGTTCAGTACTGATTGCAGTTGCCTGTAGAATTTCTCCTTCTTCTCTTCATCTGCATTATTTGTAGGTGCGTAGTGTAGCTTAACATTGTGTGATCGTAACTTTCCTTCCTTTTGAGTTGAATCTTTCTGTCACGATCCTTATCCTTCAGGAGGAGTTTGGTTCCCACTTCATGAGAGGGAGATTTCGATGCTCTTGGGGTCATCATGATAGCCATTAGAGAACTCAGTGTGCTCGTAGTTGTCGTCTGGGTGAGAATATCGGAGTAGATTATCGACTCCTCTCCAGTTCACTGTTTGAAGAGTCCACTTCCATTCCATCTGCAGATTCCTAGCACTTCTATCCTATACCTTCTCATCTCTTTTGCAATCTGGGTAGCCTTGCCATCCACCTTCAAGCAGAGTACGGATATTCCATGTCCCCATTCTTACTTTCGCTTTCTTCGAGAGAAGAGAAGAGATATCGGCCGATTCGTCTCCCAATGGCTTTCACCAACCGGTATCATTTCGTCTCCCCGATTCCAGTGAGGAATAAGTTTGTTTTTTATATTTCATCTGTGCTTTGAAGTTTCTTTAGCGATTGGATTGGTTTTACGGGGTAGGGTTGCTAGCCCTACGTCAAACCTTCCCTCTTTACCCGGGCTTAGGACCGACTTGTAAACTAGTGAACTAGTATACTAGGCATGGTTAATGGCTGCTAGTAAGATGTTGAAAAGGTCTTATTTTCTATTGGTATTCAACAGCTTGGCATAGTAGGCGAATTAGCTCGTCTGAAATGAAATAACTTTTAGAAGGGTGGCTAATTACTAATTCATTCGACTCATTTCTTCTGTTCAAAATCTTCAGATTCTCTAGGGCAAATGTGTGGGAGTTCACCTTGAAAAATCTCATTACTGATTCAACAACGTAGTAGGTTAATATAAGTGTAAAACTTGGGCACCGTTGTAGAATGTGATTTCATATTGGATTTATTATAACACACAGTGAGTGATAAAGTATTATTTACTGCATGACGTTTCAAGCATAAATTATCACTACTCATAATCATATCAATGTAACCCTACTACTTTCGATATCTGATTCTGATAATCCTATCACCTAATATTCTTTGCTTCTATTGGTAGTCAAATTTTCCATATCTCTTGTATAGGTGTTGCATCATTCCTAGTACAAATGTGTTGGGTGATGTTGATTTCATGAACAAAGATTCAGTAATCAATTCCCTCCTCTCTCCGGCTAATCGTATTGGATATGAGTACAGTGGTTTTATCCTACCCACCCTATTGTGTGTTGTGTGTTAATGTATGTAATGAGTTGCAATAACCGAGTACTTTTTATAGATTATTCATCTTATTCAGGTCTATCGTTCTATATTTGGCTAAATTCCTGTATTCGGTTATTCTAACTGACCCCGACCGGCTGGTTTGACTTATGTACTTGACCTGACTCATAGTGATTACATGGAATTCGATAGATTAGACTATGTTGCTTAATTGGTTCTATCAGATCCTGAAGCTAGCTGACAAAGCGCATCTCTGAGTGAGTTTGTATGTTTAAATGACACCCTAATTCCACTTTGTTGAGGATTCTACGTAAAGTTTCTGATGTACCTTCCTTATAGGGTAACACAGTGGAGGCTTTGAACTTATTTCCACTTGTGTTGTCGTTAATATTTGTATTCATGTTACTGTTATCTTTTCGTTTCTTATGTGAATTCCTTAATGAACTGTAGAGGATGATTATCAATTAGTAACGCTTCTTTTACGTGTTTAAGTTCCTTGTTTAGGTCCTTGCACTGACTAGTCAGTTTTCTAGCTGTATCATTTAGACATTTGGCAAATTTTCATTTAACTGACATTGGATGGGATGACTTGAAGTCTAGATACCTGTTGGGATGTGGCGGGTTTTTGTAGACGGTAACATCCAAACCACCGTCTGTCCTTCGTTTTATCCTGCAATCCAATATAGGTGATTCTCCTTGTTCATTTTCCACCTCCTCGTTAGTGAATTGAACTGTGTGAGGAAATTGTCGATTTCAACATAGCAGTAAATGTGTCATCCACATACCACCACCATATCTTAGGTGCAGTACTCAACGTTCATAAATTCATGTGTTTCTAACTATTCATCAATATATCTGCTACGATTGGGGATATTGGTGATTGCGTTGCCACTCCTTCTGTTTGTCTATGTATTTTGTCCTGAAACGTGTAGACTGTGGAGGTCAGATACAACTGTACGCCTAATATGATCATATCAACCGATATCTTAGTTCTGTAAGTAAGTCCTGAGTCACTACTTAATTGACTTCTGACTACCTCCAGTGTCATACTAATTGGCATTTCAGGATAAAGACTTTTACATCGAAGTCAATCATTTTTTCATCCTTTTCTATATGTTGGTCATTAAGCCTTAGTTTGAACTCGTGAGAATTGACTAGTATAGAATCTGAACGGTTCCTAGTAAGACAGAATATCGATGCTTAGTACTTGGCTAGTTCATATGTTGTGGTACTTCTGAAGTCAATTATGGGTCTAATGGGATAGCCTGGTTGAGGATCCAATAGAACCAATTAAGCAACATAGTCTAATCTATCGAATTCCATGTGATGACTATGAGTCGGGTCAAGTACATAAGTCAAACTAGCCGGTCAGTATAAGTTAGAACAGCCGAATACAGGAATTTAGCTAAATATAAAATGATAGACCTGATTAAGATCAATAATCTATAAAAAGTACTCGGTTATTGCAATTCATTACATACATTAACACACAATAGGGTGGGTGGGATAAAACCACTGTACTCATATCGAATATGATTAGCCGGAGAGAGGAGGGAATTGATTACTGAATCTTTGTTCATGAAATCAACATCACTCAACACATTTGTACTAGGAATGATGCAACACCTATACAAGAGATGTGGAGAACTTTACTATCACTAGAAACAAATAATATCAGTAAAACACTAGGCTAAAAGTGCACAGAATCAAAATGGAAGTGTATTACTATACAAACAGTCTTAAGGATAAAATCAAAGAAGCCTTCACAATTTTTCAAACCACTTTTCAATGATAAAGGTAGCAAGAAAACTGTAGCATAATCTCGACTGGTTTTGATTTTTAGCCATATCTTCTATTGGATGAAGTTACTTAGATTTATGACCTCTAAGATTCTATCTCTATAATCATGATGCAAGCGTAGAGGCGAAGCTAACACAACTATTCTTAGTTGTGTATCGCTGACCACCTCTCTACTTCTTTCAACTAGTCCATAAGCAAGTGAATAATGAATTGTTTGGCAGCTATTGAAATAATCAGCAAAGTTGATGAAAATTACAATAGACTTAAATATACTACTTATATGTTAATTTCAGGGGCCACCTATTCGGATGAAGATAACAGCGAAAACAACCATTGAAAAAGTTCCAATAGAATGTTTTGATCAGTTGAATGAGGTAAATTATCGTTCAAAGCTTCAGAATACTAATCTAATATACTTCAAACTATCACATACTGATTTTTATTGCTTGAAATCTCATATTCTTTGACAAACTGATTTTTCTCAGGTAATTAAGAAGTGAATAACGAACTATCAGCTTAAATGATAAGGAAAAATATTATCCTTAAGGTTATATTTGCTACTATTACTATCACCCATCATCTTCCTGATGGTGGTCGACTGGATCATGCAGCAAACAGTGAGGAGCGAAAAGACGGGGATAAGCTGGATCCGGGGAAAGACCCCAAAAGAAGATTTGGATTTGGCCGATGACTTGTGTCTAGTGTCGCATAAACTCAAAGATCTACTGGCAAAAACTAACACGTTGACAGAAGAGGCAGGCAGCGGAGATGGGACTTCAAGTGGTAGTAGAGAAGATGGGGGGTGATGAAGATACCCAACCAACACACCAACAACAATAAACTTCAATCACCATGAGCGGGAGAAACTTGAAGGAAGTAGCCTCTTTCACCTGTTTAGGCAGCACCATTTGAACTACAGGCGGCAGTGGCACGAATCTGAAATATGTTATTACTTTTGTAGCTTATAAGCAAGGAGATGCCACAGTTATTTCTGCTAATTGATTTGGGATTGCTGTTTCGATTGGATAGTGGGTAGCAGTGGAATCTAGGACCCGCGTTTTGTCTTATTCAGGACTCATCGGCCGCATGTACCTGTATTTCACTAAGTGGTGTTGCTCCTAGTATCAATCACTTCAAACATCGCAGCATTATCCCCAAGCCAGTTTTATGGGGAGCGGTCATATTTCTAAATGTTTCAGTATATAGTGCTTTGGAGTTTAATGTGATGGGTGCTGGATGTAAGTCTCAGCGGGAACAGGTACACTCAGTTAACCAATGCAGAATAGGATGAAATGCGCATTTTATATTCCACTAATAGTCACTATCCATTGGAGTAATAAAATGAATTGTTAGCTATATCAATGCATTTGCATAAAACCACAAATCCCAAGATTGTTGAATTGACGGTAATTAACTTGGCTGTGGTTAGAAGAGGGATCCAGGAAGCGTGTTTTGTCCTATTTGGGGCTCGTCAGCCGGATGTATCTGCATCCCAATGAGTGATGTTATTCCTACTGAGACTCGAACCCCGTACCCGTCGCTTCAAACGCCAACAGAGGTCGAACAATTCGATCCAATAAAACAACGGAGAATATCAAGCACATTAGCAAATAGTAATAACTAATACCCGTTGTAGAAGAAGTGGCTATCGTGTTTCCATGGCCCAGTGGATAACGCCTTGGCATTCGAAGTGATGGGTACGAGGTTCGAGTCTCAGTGAAGTGCAGATACATCCAGCTGATGGGTTTCAAATAGCATGAAACGCTCTTTCTGGATTCCTGTGCTAGCAATAACCAAGTAAATTACCCTAGTTAACATTCAGGCATCCTCATAGGAGCCCATATGCCAGTGGAGGTCGAATAATTCAATCCAATAAAATAACGCAGAATTACAAGTATATCAACAAATTGTTGAATCGATTTACCAAAACTTGTTGAACATTTAATGTAAAGAATTAAAACAACTTGTCTCTTTTATTGTCTGTTTACATTCAGAAATCAATAAATTATGATATTATACTTCCTGATAGGTAAGTTTTTAAAGTTTTTGTTGAGATAATACTCTAAAGGATTTTTCAGTGTTTACTTTGATTTCTGAATGTCAAATATTTTTAATATTATGATATTGTATCGCTTTTCTAGTGTTCTGTTATAAAAACTGAGTATACTGCCACATTGAATGTTGAATGCCAGTCAGCAAAGAAGCTTTATGTACTGATGAAGTCTCACACCTTCGAAACTTGTTATTAGGAAATTGTCTGCAGAGTTGAATCAATCCACTTACAAATACAGCTAAATATATCAACTCTAAGATTATTAGGGTTGTAGTACACTCCAAATGTTATTTCACTTAACTTTATGATCATGATGCGTTTATTGGTGGGTGAAATTATATCAGTACTTTGATATTATTCTATTGAAGTCGACAGGACGCCATTACAAGCTAATAGATAGATAGTTAGTGACAGTCAGTGGAATTTCCCCGATCAACGGTTTCAGACTAACTGTTAGTCATAACTATAAGACCTACTAATAATGTATTACAGATGAACAACTTGAGTGGCAAGAAACCAACCACTCCGGCTGGTGTTTACATTACATCAGTCAGAACGGAGTGTTTTAAACAACAGATGGTCATTTCGCTTGTCTGGAGGCAGATTCATCAGCCGTGTACCCAGGTAAATTCATCTGCCAGAGAGAGTCGAATTACTTCAGACCACCTGAATCTATCTGACTAAAGTGTTTTGAATGGACTGATATGCCTAAAATAAAATGAACAATTTATAGATAATATACCAGTTGGTTAATCTCTTCACAACTTATATTCTGTGATTGGTAGCTAAGCCTATACAGATAGCAAAATGTAAGTTCTCTCTGATGTAGGTTCATTTCTTTAAGGGAGGATGATTTCTCCTCAAGTCGTACACGCACGCACGCACACACACTTTGATTGTCTACGAACTGTCAACTTCAAGTCATCCTTATAGTCTAGTTTGTTAGATTCAATCAGCCCTGAGAACGATTAGTCAGTATAACTCCATAAGTGACTCTTCTGCATAAAAAAACATTCTCAATTAATTCTTCTACATTATTTGTTTCAATTGAGGCAGTGGAGACGGGACTTCAAGTTAACTTAGAGAAGATGGGGGTGATGAAGATACCCAACCAACAACAACAACAGCAACAGCAACAACCATCTCCAATCACCATGAACGGGAGAAACTTAAAGGAAGTAGCCTCTTTTACCTGTCTAGGCAGCACTCTTTCAACTACAGGTGGCAGTGGCACAGAAGAGGACGTCAAAACCAGGATCAGAAAGACAGCAAGATAGGCCTTCTTCAGTCTGAAATAACCAGTGTGGAGATCTACTGCACTGCACTGCACTCAGCACAAAGCATGAACAATATCCAGAGTTTCAACACCAACGTCAAGTCAGTGCTTTTGTATGGTTCAGAGACTTGGAGCGTTACGAAAAGTATTTCCAACAAACTACAGACATTCATCAACAGCTGCATACGCTGGCTCGTTACTGAAGATCAGATGGCCAGAATCATAAGAATAAGCAACAAAGAACTCTGGCTAGCTGGCTGCCAACGAACCAACCAACCAAGAACCTATCGATCAACAGATATGCAGAAAAGTGTGGAAGTGGAAATGGATTGGGAATACACTGAGAAGGTGGACTGAGGACATCACGCACCAGGCCAGACCAGGCCGTGGAGTGGAACCCCAATGGGAAGCGACGAGTTGGGCGTCCGAGGTGAGGGTGATATGGAGGAGATGATGTGAGGAGGAAATGAGAGCTTCTGGGCAGTGGTGGTGCCAGGTTCAATAGATTACAGACAACAAAGTGAAATAGAGACGTGCTACTGAAGCCGTATGTTCTATTAGGAACGCAAGGGACAAATAAAATAAATAATGAATTTGTTTCAATTGGTAAAAATTACAATGAGGGATTTCAGTGAAATTGATACTTGAAGGACGTTCGCATACATTACCAAGCTGTCACACTCCACAATAATACAACATTGATGAAAAAACCGGGTAGATCAAACTGAAAATGATAGTTATGTTGTATAAAATGTCTAAACTGAAAGGAAAAGAAGATGACAGAATTAGCCAAATAGTGGAGAATATGAATCTTTGATAAGTGTCATTTTACTTATGACTTATTTGGTGACATAATTGTATAGTTCGGTTCATGAGCTTTCAGTTAACCGTTCATGCATTTATGGATGACTTATATTTCAGAAATCATTGCATACTGAGTGTAATCAATCAATTATCTCACTTGCTGTAACTGAAGTCGGTTGTCCCACGTTTATAAATTATTGTGCGTTATGGTCAGGTAATTTCGTTATGTATACATAGATGAGTCAGACCACCTGAGATAAACAAACTATAATCACTGTTGTAAACGATTGGTTTGAAGGGCCGAATTATGTGACTCATCGTGTAGGTGGATTGAATATACCAGACTAAGTATATTGAAGACCAATCACGTTCAAGGTCAGTGTTAAAACTGAATCAGAAGCACCACGTGATTAAGACAACTGCAAGGCGAAGTTATAGCAAATTGGTAATGTGATTGATTCGGGGGTATAACCCAATAACATGTAATAATATATTTAACATTTTCATAAAGATAAGGTATGGATACGCTTGAGTCATTGTGAATAATCGTGAATTAGTTAGGGAAATCTACATGTGTGATTAGATCCTAACTATTCATGTTGTTCAGCAGTTAATTCATGATGGCATCCCTGTTTCAAAGATCATACTTTTTGATCTTGGCTGGATTTCTTCGACGGAAATTTGCTTGTCACTACAGTAGAACAGTTGAACAATGACTGAGGTGCATGAAATATCAATGCGGTCTATACAACTTGTAAGTAATTTGCATAAAACTTTCATTGCATTTTGTGGTTTGTAAGTTTAAATCGTTAATTAGAATATGACTTGGTAACCTAGCAGATAACGATCTAGTGTTTGAAATGATCGGTCCTAGATTCGAGCCTTAATGGGAACAACACTCATTGGGAGGCAGATACGTCTGGCTGGCGAGTTGCAACTAGGACGAAATGCAAGTTTTGGATTCCAATAGTTATCACTATCCATCGTCAATATCCAACTTTTTATTGCCATTTCGTTTAGAACCCCTTGATGGTTGTTCAATTTCTTCATAAATGTAAAAGGCGGTAAGATAGGAGAATGTGAAATACAACGTCAAAAATGTATACAAAATGCATGGGTTTATATATACCTACAATGACCTTGGCTGTTTCTAGGCCTTTGTAGATTTAAATCCTATTGGTTCTTATCTCTTCAACCAATCTGATATTTACACGTTGGTTCATGTGATTTCTTTTGAAACTTTGGTGCAACGTGATTGGTTGCATAAAACGTCAGGGAATTACGGCTTCTTATGAAGATTATGGTTATTTAACTCCACAGTATAACAATTTTCACACTTTTCCGCGATGAAAATATTTTGGCTCATAAAGAATGATCAGGCCACAAATTTGTTTGACTGTTAAGTGCTGATATACCAAAGTAAACATGGTTGAATTGAATCATGTAATCTGACTGTCATCGGAATATCAACTGAAATATCCATTGTCTATTTTTACTGTCCCCTTTTCCAGAGGCCATCTATCAAATAAACAGTATATCTTTACCAATACATCTAATGAATACGCGTTAATCAATCAAAACTGTTCACGTGATACACAGTCTTTCATCTCTGCAACAAGAATCTTATGTGGTGATAATACTAAAGAAAGTAAAAAATGGAAGACTGAAAAACAAAAATTGAGATCGAATCCTGTAGAAATTCTATTCACATCGTCATCACCAACAGAAAAGTTACAAGCTGATGATGATGAGCAAATAATCTACCCAGCTGACAGACTGAGATTGCCCAATCTACGTCTGATAATGACAAATGAACAAGTGAGATATAATGAGTTTTTTACACTTCAATAAAATATACTACTGAATAATATAAGTAGTTAAATGAAGTTAACCGAATTAATTAGTCAGCAGGTTGAGTAAAATCAGTCAGGCTGACCTGAACAGTCTGACGACCTGGGACTGATTCATTGGAAGTTGGAGAACTTTTCTGATCATGTGAAACACTTGAGTACTGTTTACATCACCTTTTACACTACACTGTTGAAATCTGTCAGTTGCTATGTTATGCAGTGGAATCCAGGACGCGCGCCTCATCCTATTTGGGGCTCATCAGCTGGATGTACCTGCCTCCCAGTGAGTTATGTTGTTCTTACTGGGACTCGGAACCAGTTGCTTCAAACGCTAGAGCGTTATCTACTAGTTGCTAGTACCTTCCCGTCGTCTGGCATTTGAAGCGATTGGTGTTGAGTTCAAGTCCCATTGGGGACAACATAACTCACTGGAAGGCACGTACATCCAGCTAACAAGTCCCAAACAGGATGAAACACGCGTCACGGATTCCACTGCTAGCCGCTATCCATCATTATATACTCAAGGAGTGATAGTAGCATAACAGCTGTCAAATTTCAACAGTGTAGTGTAAAAGGTGATGACACGATTGAAACAAAAGCAATATCGCGGCATCCGTGAACGAGACCCAAATGCCAATAGAGACCGATCAATTCGGTCCAGTCAACGACGGGATAATGTCAGCAAAAACATTGCCTTGGTAGTTTCGTTTTCTAGAAATCACCTGTACAGCTAAGGGATTATTTTGACAACTTACTTCTGGTTTCTTTAAGACCCAGGCTCAAGTCGAATCCATTAGTATATATATCGATGGGTCTCTATGGTAACATCTGACTTTAGAGTGGATCTCTGGCCATCCATCCATCCAAAACCAACATAGAACCAGACATTACTGCATAACTGTCCAACTTGCCACACCTCATATCAGTACATCAAGTAAAAAGGCGATGGGGCGAAAGATGAAGATAAGAGAGTGCAGTCAGAAGAAATATAATGTACGAAAAGAGAGAAAGGAAGAATGAAAAAATGGTGAGATTTGGCATAGCGTCGTTAAGATGAGGATAATGTGTGTGGGGATACATCTGCGCCGCTGACATCGATTCTGAGCCATGTGATCATCTAGAGTTTTCAACCACTAGTTTCTCTTGTCCCGCAGATCCCAACCACCGAGTCTGCATCGCCCCACATGGCTCAAACCAACAGTCAGAGACTTCATGCATTGGTGCCATGTTTTGGTCTGGCCACCTCGGGCCTTTTTCCAGCCTGACCTACTTCAGCCAACATTGTGTGACGAGGCAATCGGTGACTAGGCACACGAAACACGTGTTCCAACCATCTGAATCGATGAAGGTTCATAACCTCGTTAACTAATTTACCTCTACTCCCTCAAACTCTCTACCTTACTTCTGCATTACTGACGTGGTGACACCACGGAATACGGCCTATACCACGAAGGCAGCGGTGGTCCAACACTTGAAGCCTTCTCATGTCCTCCACTTTCAATGGCCATCTTTCACAGCCATACAATAGAACAGACCGGACTGCTGTGCAGGTGCATTACACGCGACCCTTAATGGTCAAACGGATATCACTGTGGCTCTGTAGGTGGAGTAAGTTGGCAAAAGCCAATAGAGCCTTTTGTATCCGTGCAGAGATTTCATCGGTCACTGAGCCACCAGTGCAGGGCTGATCCTACTTTCCAGATAAGTGAAGTGGTCAACACACTCAGCCAATACCCTCTCTATTGTTAGCCGTGGCACCGCTGAAGACCAATCCTGGAGCAGCAATTTGCATTTGGGTGGTGAGAAACGCATCCCAGACATCGTCAAATTCCCACTCAGTTTTCGGAAGACTCTGCATCTCACCAGTCAGCGTTTTCACCTGACACGACTAGACTATGTCATTTGCATATTCTAGGTCTAACTAAAATTCTCCACCGATTAGGTCAACATCTGCATAACCTGGTGACGAGAGGGAGACCTCCATGAGAATGTCTACGAAAAAACTGAATAAGAATGGAGACAGTGGGCACCCTTGAAGGATACCACTCGACGAGTACAGCTCACCTGACATCTCACCATAGGCTCTAACACGCCCACAAGTGTTCGAGTAGAGAGCCTTCTATAAGGTGATGTACTTACTCGGCACGTCTTTTACTGAGAGACACTGCCATAAGACTTCTCGATCAACGGAGTCGAATGCTGCCGTCTCCAGGTAAAGAAATACAGCCAGTGTCGGGTGTCGGTCAGCGTGTCTGTGTTCCAAAACCTGGTGCAGTGTGAATATTTGGTCGATACACCCGCGGCCACGTCTAAAGCCTACTTGGTTTTCTCGGGTTTGCTGTTCTCGAGCTCAACTCAGCTGTCGAAGAATTATACAACCTAGAATCTCGGACAACCTCGCCTGGTTAACTAGTTTACTAGTTACTAGCCGGTCCTAAGCCCGGGTAAAGAGGGAAGGTTGGGCATAGGGCTAGCAACCCTACCCCGTAAAACAAATCTAACCGCTAAAGAAACTTCAAAGCACAAACAAAATATAAAAAATGAAAACAAACTTATTCCCCGCTGGAATCGGAGAGGCGAAATGACGCCAGTTGGTGAAAGCCTTCGGGAAGCCAATTGGCCGATGTGTCTTCTCTCGATGAAAGCGAAAGTAAACGTGGGGACATGGAATGTCCGCACGATGTTTGAACCCAGTAAGGCAGCCCAGATTGCAAGGGAGATGAGAAGGTATAACATCGAAGTGCTTGGGATTTGCGAAAGCAGATGGAATGGGAGTGGACTCTCCAAACTGTCAACTGGAGAATCAATAATCTACTCCGGTCACCCAGACGCCAACCACGAGCACACTGAGGGAGTGGCTATCATGATGTCCTCAAGAGCATCGAAGGCTCTCATGCAGTGGGAACCAATCTCCTCCAGGATCATGACAGCAAGATTCAACTCAAAAGGAAGAAAGGTCACAATCATACAATGTTATGCACCTACAAATAATGCAGAGCAAGAGAAAAAGGAGGATTTCTACAGACAACTTCAATCAACACTGGACAAGACGTCAGTTGGCGATATCAAAATTCTGATGGGCGACATGAATGCCAAACTGGGAGGGGACAACACGGGAAGAGAACTAACCATGGGTCGAGAGGCACTAGGTGAAATGAATGAGAATGGAGAATTGTTTGCAGAATTCTGCGCATTCAACGATTTGGTGATTGGAGGCAGTGTGTTCAGGCACAAAGATATCCACAAAGCGACATGGATTTCACCAGATGGACACACTAAAAATCAAATCGACTTTATCTCAATCTCAAGAAAATGGAGACGCAGTCTACTTAACACAAGGTCAAGAAGAGGAGCAGATGTAGGTTCAGACCACTACCTAGTGCAAGGAACCTTCCAAATCAAGTTAAAAGCCTTCAAGGAAGCTGGTGATAGACCTCAATTCAAGTACAACACTCGGAAACTGAAGGATGAAACTACAAAGGAGATCTTCAAGGCAGCCATCAAGACAAAATGGGAGACATCGAGCAACATCCCTGAAGAAACCTGTGTGGAAGAACATTGGAAGTCTTTGAAAGCTATGTGGAAAGAAACCTGCACAACAGTATTAGGAAGGAAGAAGGTGGAAGACAAGGAATGGATCTCGACGGATACCTGGAAGCTGATAGAGGAGAGGAGGATGGTGAAGCGGAAGATAAACCAGTGCAAGGATGCTCAACGACAAGAGGAACTGAGCACAATGTATAAAACACTGGACAAAGAAGTGAAGAAGAGTGCACGCAACGACAAAAGACACTTCTACGAAACACTGGCAAGTGAAGCAGAACAGGCTGCAGGTAAGAGAGACCTGACGACATTGTATCAAATAACCAGGTTGCTGTCAGGGAAGAGACCAACACAGATGAAACCAATAAAAGATGAAGAAGGAAATTTAATTACAAAAGAAGAGAAACAGAGGAAACGATGGGCCGACCACTTCAAGAAGCTCTTGAATCGACCACCACCTGCACTTCGTCCAGAAATACCACCTGCAGCCGCTGAACTACAAGTGAACATTAATCCCCCAACGAAAATGGAAGTCCTGAACGCCATAAAGCTACTGAAATGTGGGAAAGCAGCAGGACCAGATGGAATACCGCCAGAAGCACTGAAAACAGATGCAGAGACAACAGCGGCCATGCTCACACCACTATTGCAGAAGGTGTGGAAGGAAGAGAAGGTACCTGACGATTGGAAGAAGGGTTACCTTGTCAAACTGCCGAAGAAGGGAGACCTCAGTGCTTGCAAGAACTGGCGCGGAATCACTCTCCTGTCCACCCCAAGTAAAATATTAAGCCGCATCATCCTGGAGAGGCTAAGGGATGCACTGGATTCAAAACTACGACCGGAACAGGCAGGCTTCAGGAAGTACAAATCATGTGCAGACCAAATTGCAACGCTTCGCATCATCATAGAACAGAGCATAGAATGGCAATCACCTCTCCACCTCAACTTCATCGACTTTGAGAAGGCCTTTGACAGCGTCGACCGAGAGGTAATTTGGAAGCTGCTTCATTACTACGGAGTGCCGCAAACCTTTATCCGCCTCATTCAACAACTATATGAAGATGCCACATGCCAAGTAATCCACAATGGGAAGCTCAGTGATGCCTTTGAAGTGAAGACAGGAGTGAAACAAGGTTGCCTACTATCCCCCATGATATTCCTTATTGTGGTGGACTGGATCATGCAGCAAACAGTAGGCAGCGAGAAGAGGGGGATACACTGGACGACGGAAAAGAACCTAGAAGACTTGGATTTCGCCGATGACTTATGCCTAATGTCACATAAACTTGAAGATCTGCAGGCAAAAACTAACAAGTTGATAGAAGAGGCAGCGAAGACGGGACTTCAGGTGAATATAGAGAAGACAGAAGTGATGAAGATACCGCACCACCACCATCAACAACAACAACAAACTCCAATCACTGTCAACGGGAGAAACTTAAAGGAAGTAACCTCCTTCACTTATCTAGGAAGCACTGTTTCAACTACAGGCGGGACGGACGAGGACGTCAAAGTCAGAATCGGAAAAGCAAGACAGGCATTCATTAGCCTGAAACCAGTGTGGAGATCTTCTGCACTCAGCATGCGGAACAAGATACGGATTTTCAACACCAACGTCAAGTCAGTGCTCTTGTATGGCTCAGAGACTTGGCGCGTCACGAAAGGTATTTCCAATAAACTACAGACATTCATCAACAACTGCTTACGCTCGCTGCTGAAGATCAGATGGCCAGAAAAAATAAGCAACAAGGAACTCTGGGAACGAACCAACCAAGAACCTATCACGCAACAAATATGCAGGAAGAAGTGGAGATGGATTGGCCATGCACTGAGAAGGCCGACTGAGGACATCACGCGTCAGGCCCTCGAGTGGAATCCCCATGGGAAGCGACGAGTTGGACGTCCGAGGGTGACATGGAGGAGGTCGTGCGAGCAGGAAATGAGAGCTTCTGGGCTGTCGTGGGACCAGGTTCAAAAGATCTCAGAGAACAGAGGTCACTGGAGGCGTGCTACTGAAGCCCTATGTTCCACTAGGAACCCAAGGGACTAATAAATAAATAATAGAATCTCGGACACTATGTTCGTCAGGTTGATTCCTCTGTGGTTATCACAAGAGGTCTTCTCGCCTTTCTTGAAGACTGGGATAATCAATGACTTAGACCAGTCAGAGGGGATCATATTTGACTCCCATATACTAGTTAACACTTCCGTTAACGTGACTAAGAGCACTCTACCACTATCCTTGTATACCTCAGCAGATAGTCCATCTGGTCCTGCTGCCTTTCCTCGTTTTACGTTGCCTACCGCTTTCTCAACTTATCGTAGTGGTGGGGGGCCTATCTCTATGTCCCATTCAGGATCCGACTGGATAGCGGGCAACGCAGTGGTGGCTAGAGGTCAGCTAAACTGCTCCTCGAAGTGTTCTGCCCATCGTTCTAGTCGTCTCTCCTGCGGGTGAATTTCAGATCCATCCTTCTCCGCTATGGTCTCACTAACCGCAGTCGACCTTTTTCCCCCAGTTCCCGTAATAAGTCTAAATAACTATCTACTGTTACCAATCACTGCTGCCTTTTCCATCTCTTTAGCCTTCGCTGCCTACCACTGTTCGCGATAGTTGCGTGGACTTTTTCCCAGTCTACTTTTAAGCTGTGCACGCTCTTCATTGTACTCACAGCCTGCAGGCAGAGATGCGTTCATGTGCATCCATTAGTTCGGAAGAAGTTGCTGATATCCACTGGCTCTTTTTAGCCACTATTTTGGAGTCGGCTATGGTCTTCAACGCTGCTTTTACAGCAGACTGGAGATGGCACCAAGCTTCTTCTAGATGAGTGATAGTCTTCTGTCCCGATAACTGTCTAGCCAACTTCTCACTGAACACAGCTTTGTTGTTTCCGTTTTGAAGCAGCACTCGTAGTGGTTTTGTTGCCAAAGTTTTCTTACTTCGATTGAGACGTAGACATATACGTGCTCGGACCAACGCGTGGTCGCTATCCAAACACGTACTTCAGAAGGAGCAACAGTCTTCCACCGATCCTCTCCACCGATGACTAATAGCAGTGTGATCTGTCTGTGTCCATCGCTGAGTTGAGCACGATGGACGCCAGGTCAGACAGTGTATTTTCTTATGTCTGAGATTTGTGCTGGCTAAATATAGGCGATTGTCTGAGCACAGTTGTAGTAGGCGATTACAGTTATCTGTTCGTTCAGCCGGGACTCCAGAAGTGCCACCTGAGTGCCTTTCTGCCTCACTCAGTCTACCCACCTGTGCATTGAAATCACCTACAACAACCACCACGTCCGAACGTTTGGCTTTCGAGAGGAGGCTAGACAGTTTACGGTAGAACTCGTCCCTCACTTCATGTGAACTGCAGTCAGTGGGTGAGTAAACAGGGATTACAAAGAGACAACGGTAAGTCTCCCTATTCCTTTTAGTTCTCACCGTGCCGTTCAGCTGCATGGCGGAGGGGCGACTATCAACTGGGATCCAGTCCAGTAGTGAGTTTTCTGCCCTATTGCTTAATGCTATGCCTACGCCTGCAAGATCGCCAGAGCTAGCCATCGGATCTCCGGAAAATCGAAGGGTGAATTTTGCGGATTCACCAGATTGGTCGGGAGAGGTCAGGTGAATAACCGCGCTTGGGTCCTGTATACGTGTCTCACGAACATAGCACACATGCATGCCCCGGGTTGCTAGAGTCTTTGCCAACGAAGCCTGTTGACCAATTTGACGGAGGGTGAGGACATTGAAGGCTTCAATGTGTAGTTTGGAGCGTGGTTTAAGGAGACCAAGATGCTGTTGTGTGAACTCAAAGGCTGCAGAACTAGGGGAAATTAAGGATAGGGTGCAGTATTGTTAGTTGGGAGACTTGAAAGAAGATTAGAAGGTAATGGTGGAGGAGGTGGATAGCAGTCTGAGGAAACTTGAGTGATGACAGAATTGTGAGGGTGATTGATACTTCCCGGCTGCCTGCACCGTGGAATGCTATTTCTTCTTAAAGTGCCTGAAAGAGATTTGTGTGAGCGCAGAGCCCATCGGAGATCTGCTTGAGGCCTGTCACACGCAGCCTTTTGGGTATGATTATTTTGAACTTTTGTATTTTTGGGGCCTGATTGTCGGAAAGAAACGACAAATGAACCAACACCACCGGGGCATGGTGGAGTTTGTTATTTTGGGGGTCAACCTTTTCTAACCCCCCCTTCCATTGAGAAGGGAGCATCAGCATGGCACTGCTGGTCATCGAAGGGAAACACCTTACTGCTGTCACATCCCATCCAGCTAACAGCAGTACGACTTCGCTCTCAGACCCCTATCATAGTGTAGCAATTTACACTATAACGGTAACTGCTTTTCGTCTAACCACTATCCAACAGACTTTTCTGGTATGGTGGGACCTCGAGGAACAAGTGTTTCACCAGCATAGCTCGTTGGGTCATTGTGATATGCAAGCCCGACTACCATATGAAGGTAGCAGCTATCGGTCGGGCGAAGGTAAGGTAGATAAATATTAAGTAGTCAGGATAGGTGTGTTATTGTTGTTTAAAATTGGTTAGTACTGGAAACAGTGTTGAATTCGCTTCATCTGTGAAGGTCTAAGCATCCAGTGGTATTATTAGCCAGCATATAATAGGCATAAGTGATTATCTGTTGTATAAACGTCCAAGTCATCGCCAAATGCTTCATCTTTCTTCTAAGATGAACAGCATAAGCACAGAAGTTAATATCCATTATCAAATCATCGATTAGGATGACAATTTTCTAACTGACACTGCTCTATGTGATCAATACAGGCCATCTCATTAGATTCTACTGCCATACTGACACTATTATTCTATCTTAATCTATAGTCATCTCTATGACATACCTCGTAAGTCCCCTTGCGTTGACTGGACAGAATAGACTAGCCAGTATTTTACATATGGGGTGCTTTGCAGACACCTCGATATTGCTGTGGTTTGTAGTTCAGACCTTAATGATTGATATTGGCTAGCACTGAACTTCAGGATGCGTATTTCATCCTGTTTAGAATTCATCAGCTGAATCTACCTGCTTCTAAGGTAATGATGTTGTTCCCACTACGACTCAAGCTCAGAAGTAATCACTTCAAACTCCAGAGCGTCATCCATACGGTCACTCAATCATTCACGACACTGAGCCACCACCTCTTATGTGAAGGATATTGCTTGGTTTTTCGGTAATTCTGCTGGTACCCACTATACATCACTAATAATTTATACAATCCAAACAAACACACAAATGTATATTAGAGTATTCGGTATTATAAACATCATTCTCCTCATTGAATCAACGTTCTACCGAGTAATTTATTCACCAATGCATTTCATTTTTCATTCTTCCTTTGTGTAGATGGATATGGCAGAATGAAGTATTACTGTGGCTTACTACTTTATTATCATACAAGTAGTATAAGTTTACTTCCTAAAATAATAAGGAATGGTATATATTCTTTTACTCGCCTGAAGACTTGTTTGATATTAGTGTATTGAATTATTTTCGTATTTTAAATCAGCAAAATTATACGTACAAATTTCAGTTTTCTGTCTTTCATAAATATTGGATATTTCTGAGCTTCTGTGGTCACTTTTCTGGCATTGACCCTATAGTTTCTAGTCACCAGACAGGTGGATAGCGTACACTTCTTCCCTATGCCTTATATTAGCTACGAAGATAAGTGTAGGCGTTGACAACTTTTTGTCAGTTCCAACTAAATTCGAATAGGTACACTTAAGGGCTAATCGTAACTACTTCAGTCAATACAAGTCCTAAAATTCATTCGCTGTCTTACCTTCATTACCTAAGAAACTTTAAAAGTGCTTACTCATCGACTTCATCATGACCCAGTAATGTGTCAAAAATAGTTATGCTAAACTACTTATATCTATCACTTTCAGTAGTAATATCTCAACACCGTTTAAAGCGAAGCAAAAGGCACTCCGATAGGGTCATTTACATAGTCAGAAAGTCAGTTAAAATCTACTTTGAACCCAGAAATACTGCATAACACTCCTGTTTGCCACGCTTGGGGTAAAACTAACGATTAAAAGGAAGATGTTGTGTGGATCCACCTGGATAACTGAGGTTGATTCTGAGCCATGTCACCTAGAGTCTCCAATCACTGGTTTTAACTGTTATACGGATCCAAACGGGGAAGTCTGTTTATATTTCCCCTACATGAACCAGAACATAACCACAGACTTCACAGAGTTATACTAGCTTTCATCTGGCCGTCTTCAAATTTCTTCTAGTCTAAGCCTACGTCAGCTTGTATGACAAGTCAGGATAGACTGTGACCATAAAAGAGTAACACATGATGCGGCCATCAACGTTGATATAAGTTTACGGGCATTTCAACTGGTTAGTATCTTCCACATAAAACTAACGCGGTGGTTTTATGACGAATGGTCTATTCTACAACACGACAGTGGTAGAAGAACTGAAGCCATTTCATGCTTTATACCTTTCACAGCTAAATGGTGCTATGAAGTAAACCACTGAGGAGTACACTTAACCCTTTGGTACACAGTCAAGTTAGCTATAAGCTTTCTTATCTGTACCGAAATTTCATCTATCAGGGACAGATACAACTTCTGAATAAAGGGAAGTGATCAAAGTTTTCAACGACATCATCTCCGATTGTCAGATCAGGTTTCTACATAAACTAGTCCTGAATCAACAATCTGCATATGGATAGTGAGTAACATACCCCAGATATTCTCAAATTGTCACTCAGTGCCTAGAAGACTTTTCACAATATCAACGTCTTCCCCTAGCAAAACTTCCTACTAGTGTAGATCTACTAACGGGTGTCGTGTGACACGGCAACATGCTGACCATGGAACCTGAGGGTCCTAGGTCCAACCCTCAGCGGGATGATGGGTATCCATTGCTCAGGAGTTCCATATTAGTACGAAACAGCTGTCCAGTGCTCCCAGGTTTTCAATGTTCCTCCAGCGGATTTCAGTTCATGATGAATACCAACTTGAAAAAATTGCTATAAAGTTAGATGAAGTTAGTGCTGACGATGTAGTCCAGAAAGACGATGAAAGCTTCACGATTAAGCAACCCAGCTCAGAGAACACGATACAACCAAGACATCTAGCTATCCAAAATAGGGAGAGACGCGCATCCTGGATTCCTCAACTAGTGACCAAGATCAAAAGAAACCAATGTACCATGTTGCAGATTATAACTTCTAGTCGATGATTTGACAGAACTGACTGATCCACTATTGACATATGAGCTGTTTTACGGATGACTGGATACTACCAGTAATTTCAGCCTAACAGTTATGATGAATATTGGCTAGCAGTAATACTTAGTGTTTGCGTTTCTGACTCGTCAGTATTCAAGTAAGTGAGAAGGATCCCACTGAGGCTCGACGGGAAATTACAACCCACAACACTAAACCATACTCTTTACACAAAAAATGGCTATCTTAACTCAGTAGTCTAGTAGATAACACTCCGGTGTTGGAAGTTGTGCGTGCTAGGTTAGACCCTTGGTGGGATAAATATCACTCATCGGGAGGTAGGTATATCCAGTTGAAAAATTTCAAATAGAACAAAACACTCCCCCCCCCTCCCCTAGGTCCCACTGCTGACCACTATCTATTGTAACTACCATATTATTTAGTGTTGCACAATAGGTTATTATGTTCTGTACACAGATAAATAAGTACCGACATTATAACATTACTAGAACTATTACGGTAAACAACTTTTTGGTCAGTTACATTGGTTCTAGGTGAATATCCTGAGGTGAATTAACCACTTAGTGGGGTGTTCTTCGAAAATAATTGGGCAAAGGATTTACTCAGCATTATTTTCCACCAGAATCCTTACCTCGGATACAGAAGGCTCATTTGGTATTTGCCAATTTGCGTCAACTATAGTGCCAACTGGAGAGATATTCGACTGTCTATCAAAGGACGTATATACTGCGCTGCAGTCCGTTCCATCCCGTTTTACGGTAGTGAGAGATGGCCATTCAAATCCGAAGAAATGAAGCGGTTTGAGCAATGTTGAGATCGGAGGAAGGGTGCTAGGTAAGTCAGTCAATCAGATTATGGACCTGGAGTAACTGAGGTGCCTTGGATATATGCTGCCGGTGCTGAGCCATCACTTAACTCAATGTGCCGTGCTATAGCGAGTTGGATTAGGTTGGAAAGAGGTTGAGGGTAGCCATACCCAGACATAGCATCAGAATATAAAGTCGCTGATTGTTGGTCTGAGCTATGTAGGGAGATACAGATTGTCTGGATGAGGTCCCTGAGCCGAAAGGAATCAGTGGTTGGGGACTCTAAGCAAGATGACTAAAAATCATTGTAGCAAAGATATATTCACTCTCTGACGTCTTCTAAAGGTTGAATATTTGCTTTAAACTTTATTTTCAAACTGTTTATTCTAATTTGATTTCACTCTTTTTCTATCCACCTTTATTTATTACTTTGTATACTGCAAGGAAATGTGGTAACTTGAGTTGATCCACTTGTATATGAGGTTCTACGTTGATTTTGTCTTGTAGATAGTCAGTCAGTGTCCATGAAAACCTCTTGAATCTAATCTGATAGGATGAAATAAGTTGGGCGTTAGACATAATTTATTCCACTTAATATTTTGTTATGTCATCATTTGCATAGATTTTATTTTCTGAAGAGGCAGCTTCCATGAGTTTGTGAAACGGTAGAAATCCATCGATCTACTTCATTGAGATGTTATTATTATTATTATTATTGGTGATGTTTTCCGCGTACATTATCTTTTCTGGTGACTGTAGAAACCGAACTGATATGAAAAATATTTCCCTATCTCATCGACATTAGTCGAGTTTGAACTACATTGAATTGATGTTGAGTGGTTGGAGGCAGTAGGCAGGAATCTATGATTGGTCAATGTATATCATCTTGTAAGTTGTACAGCAGGTCAGAAGCAGCCTGAGTAGGCCAGTGATAGCGTCTCTAACTGGAGCATTGACTCATGTAGGAGACATTACTTACCCATAAGTTACACCTTGCTAATGAGTACCGACTAGTATGAAACCGAGGTCATAAAACTTCCTACCGATTTTCTCCAACCACTTAAGATGAACTGAAAGTGCATCCTTATGGCCAGTCCATCCTGGCTTGGTCACCACAGTACAAAAACGACTGATAGGATTCAGTCAGTACTTAAGACTAGACAATGTGAAGTTGGTTATTCTTCAGCAATCTAGCTTCATATAGCACAATAACCTGCTTCCGCCTAGGCATATTATAAATGGCAATGATGGAAAGTAATAAGCCCAGTTCACGTGTTTCGCCCCGTTTGGGAGTCGTCAGGTGGATGTAAATCCCACCCAGTAAGTGATTTTACTTCCACATATACTTGAAGCCGAGTCCGGTCGCTTCAGACATCAGAGTGTTATCCACTAGGCTACTGGATTACGACAGTCACTTCTTGTGCGATTAGTATGTTTTTTACATTGTTGCTTATATCATCGCACCGTTGGCTGGACCGAATTGATCAACTACCGTTGGCTTATGGGTTCTTGCATGGATGTATTGATATAACCTGTTGTTTCAACATAAAAACTATACGCATCAGACAAGGATTGGCTTGCATAACTCAGTAACCGATTGGATAACACTCTGGTATCTGAAGCGATTGAACCCGGGCTCCAGTTTGAGTGGGAACAACACTGTTTATCCGTAGGTAAATACGTGCAGCTGATGGGCCTCAAATAGGATGAAACATGTGTCCTAGTATCGCTGTTAGCCGATATCCATCATTACTATGAAAATGATACGATAAGCAATAATGAGGTAATCGTGTAGAAGACCATATTCCAATAGAGATCGATCGATTGGATCCCGTCCCATCAAGGATGGGATAATACATAGAATAACATGAATATTATAAACAAGCTGTTGTTCTCTCTTCCAAGTTTTATATCCATAATTTGAAATGTTGAGCTAAATTCAGTAGTTAATAAAGAGAGTCGGCTGTTTTTGAACTGTTGAAATGAAGTTTCAACACTCAATTTTTGTTCCAGGGGAAATAAACATTTAATTTATTTTGTACCCGTCATATTTAGAGGTCAAATTCACTCCAATGTCATCAAAAAAGCAGTCAGTTACACGACAAAATAAAAACAATCCATTTCAGGAGTAGTAAATTAAAACAAAACAGATATCCAATCCCTCTTAGCATTTCAACAGTTCTCGACTTAATACAAGCCCATGCTTTCAAAATAGGAAAATGATTGGAAATAGACAGTATAGGCGTAAAAATATATTGTAATTCTATTTTAGTCTGTTTATCAGAAATGCATCACGCAGTGGAGGAACACTATTGCTTGCTGGATAACATCGTTTCAGACATAATTTA